TCACATTCAAATTCATCACAACATCTACCTGGTGTTCCATCACCTGAATGTTACAACAACTTGCACTGATACTTAACAAGTAGCGATTCAACCGACGACATTCATTCATGACTATAATCCGACTCATTTTACTAGATTTGTTAACTTACTAGACATCAATCACATAAAGTTACAACGAATCAACCAAGAATAGCGGCTATAACTACGGTCTTATTCAGTTATCGTAAAAATCGGATCAATCAGAGGTGATCAGACAAATTAGCAAGCGATCAATTTTTCATATTGGTCATTGAAAAGATGAATCGCTGAACGATTCTATCAAGTTAAACCAAATTGGGTTTCATGACAAAAAAGGACATATTTTCTGTTAATGACAAACGAAATAAACAACAATAACAACATGGAATATTGTCATATCACATCAACGCAATGAAATGATTCGATGAAATTCGATTAACCTTTTTGCAAGATCTTCACTCGTTGCCCTTCAGGACACTGAGCTGGTAAACAAATGGAAGCACGACACTTACAACTGAAATTCACTCGAATTACAACTTTAACTGACAACAGCACTACCAATAATTGACAGTGTGTGTACCAGTATCGAGCAGGTATAACGCGAAAATATAATCAAATTAATGACTTATTTATCAGGAATTTGAAACGAACGGAAATACTCGTTAATGAGACTATTGAGAATTGCCTTTTTCAAAATGGATTAGCAATTAAAAGAAAACGGCACAATAATAAATTCGATTCCAATAGCAAAAAAAAAAAAAACGAATTTCTCGAAGTACAAATGAGTGACGACGCCCAACAAAAAGTGTTCATAAATCTTGTTCACAATATACGTCTATTAAGAGCGCAATGCAATTACTACTACTTCACGTAAACGACAGTAATAAATAACTGTAATTTTTGTATGCAACTGAACGCTAATCGTCTTGCCGATGATGTGAAACATAAAAGTTATCATTTGCATTTAACAACTGAAATTGTCAAATAAAAATTTTTCGGCATCTAATTGACGAGATTAGAAACGTACTCACTGAAATTTGTAATTTAATTTAGTGTCGTTCTCATGTTCATAGTTTTTTCGTAAATTTTTGGAAACATTCTAGAATCATATTAGAGTAATGATTTTTTTTTGCAGCTTGTAAATGAATGAATTCAGTTGTGTGAACACTGAACAATTCGAGAGCAGAAGGGATTTTAAGTGAACGAACCCAGGATGTATGGGACAACATCTTCCGTCAGGTACATAACTCGCCCCTTGAACGCTGTCCGGTGGGCACTCTTCGAAGAATTCACCGCTGTCATCGCAGCGGACATTTTCGCACCGTAACTCTGCAATCAGTCTTGTGGGACTCAAATTCCGATGAGTGTTCACGATTCNACATTACTAACAATACACAAATGTGAATTGAACAAAGCAACTTCTATTCAGAAGTGATAAACTGATCGAAGCTCAATGAATGTTTATGTGACGAAACGCATTTGATACGGCTAAATTTATTTGATACCTGGTCTGCGGCATTCGAATTGATCACAACAATGACCTGGTTCACTGGTACCCTCTTTGACAAGTACCCTTTCCAACCCCTTTTCACATATTGGGACAAATGGGTCACATTTCTGCAAAGCGATTGTTCAACGAGATTTATTACGATTCTTTGCATGATTGTTATTGTTATTGTTATTGCAATCCGTAACAATGAAGAACAGCTGCGGAAAGAAATTGAGTAATTTCTAAATGAAATCGTAATGAATTATAGCAATTGATCAATTCGATCGAATGCAATTTTGTTATTTCATTTGGAATAAGCATGGTAATACTTCTTAGAATTTAGAAACAACGAACAACTCGATATAGCCGGTAGTGAATGCATGATATTCACGGAAAAGTGAACTCTCTAGAGTAGACAAATACCTGAATATCGCAATGACACTGTGCCGGTGGTGCACAGCACTCACCAGGTGGAGGTAAGGGTGTCACCAGAATTGAGTCTTCTGGACATTGCCTCAAATAAACCATTTCACATTTCGCTTTTAAACATCTCTCGGGCCACATCGCTGAAAATTTCAAAAAA